CACTTTTTTGTCCCTTTTCTTTGATCTTTGTCTAAAAATCGCTCCCCCTTGTCCCATTTCGTAAGTACATAAACGGACGGTATCGCCGATTTGGAGTGCGCAAATTGATCTTCGATCATGACCGCTTGTGTCCCTGCCGGACGAGTGGACTTGGGCGTCTTTACGCTCGTTCCAATTCTGTTGGACCCCCGAGCGCTGCTCGAGTTTTGCCGATCGTACGGCCTGAGCCCCTTCCCTCTGCCTCAGCCCCCACCAGACTCTGCACCCCATCGACGCAAAAGGCCTGCCACTACCGATGAAGTTTAAGGCGCCTCCGTGGTGTTCAGTTTCAACCCCAAGGCTCAGAACTGTGGCGGTTCGGTGGTCACGCATTTTCGAATGCACACGAAGGGCGCATGTCCAACTTTCCAGTGCGGCTCCTGCAGAAAGGCATGAAATATTTTTGAATCGCACGTACAAAGAGAATTAATAAGCTGTTCCTTCACAAAGGGCATTCAGCATGCCCAATTGTTTTCAAATTTTCTTATTTAACAGGTCATATATGAACTTTTTTTTTTAATTATAATGCAAAATTTTTCATCATATATTTTCATCATATATGAACGCAGTTTCGCGCCCGCTAATAGTTTGAATTTACTTAATTCAGCTGTTGCAGGAGAATGGCATAGAAGTCCACCACGACGGGCCGTCCCGGCCATTTTTCTTCTCCTACATGGACGTCGAAGCCACCCCAACATCAAGCTCTCTCGACGGGAGATCTTGTGGATCTGCTCCTCCCTGACGAAGGGGTACTCCAGCGTGCAGACAGCAGAAGCCGTGCAAGACGTTCTCCCGATGGGGAATGATGTCCTGTGCGACTGGAAAAATTTCATCAGGGAAGCCGCCGCCGACGAGCTGGCGAGTCTGCCTCCACTGGGAGGGGTCAGCGAGGTCGTCCAGGTGGACGAGTCGCTCTTCCGGGCAAGCGGAAGTACGACTGTGGACGGCTTCTGGAGGGGCAACAACGTGCCTGGGTGCAGCAGCGACCACTACCGCGGGACCAAGGACAAGGGTCCTTGGATTGTCGGCCTGATATGGGAGTCTAGTGGGGAGCTTCATCTGTTTGAGGTGAAGAAGAGGGACCGGAGAACGCTGCACACCATCAAAGTCAAGATTGTCCACCCGGGAACCACTGTCATTTTGAACAAGTGGAAAGGCCATAATGGCCTGTGGACGGTTCACAATGAATTGGGGCACATGGTGCTCAACCACCTCACCGTGAACCGCAGCGAGAACTTCGTGGACCCTGAAACCGGCGCTCACACCCAGATGATCGAGTCCGCCTGGACTGCCCTAAAGCAAGACTTCCTCAAGAGAGGCAAGGGGACGAGTAATACCCTGCATCCGTCGCACCTAACATGGTACTGGTGGAATTCCATCAACGGCCGGACCATGTACAGGGGCCCCTTCCTCAGGCTTCTGGAAGTCATCGGCCAAAGGTACTGGTGTGCCTGAACACACAAAGCAAACGGCCCTTTTTAGGGCCACCCACCATCTTTTATCGGCAAGACGATACACTTGAGCTTAGCTGCGAGTGTTTTACTGTGGATGGACTCCAGTTCAAGCATTCCTTGTAATCTGCATAAAAACAACTTGAGGTTTATTTGCAAGCACCAGTTGAAGTATGCTTTGGTATGTTCACACGGTATTCTTGAGCCCATCCCTCAGTCACCGCTCAGATTGTAAAGTATTATTATTACTTTTGACCTTGTTGACAACATCGCTGCAGATGCACACAAAACGCCCGAAAGCAAGTAACTATTACAGTTCACCTAAACAGATTCCAACGTGCGCATGCAAGCACGTTTTTACGGCAACGTCAGAAAACACGCAAACGACGCCAGCACTTCAAAGCAGGAGGCGGATTATTTAAACGGATATCTAAACGGCTATTACGGATCTAAACATAAAAGTGATGAATCTCGATACAAGCACCTGATCAGATGTATCGGACTCTGCTATGACTTTCAGTGAATACCACCTATATGGAAAAACTTCGTTTTATGCCACAAATAAATTTTAAAAAATTATTTGTGGCACTACCTTCAATTTGGATGTACCTTATGAATGTGAATGATTCTTCGTCCCTCAAAAAAAAACAAAAAAACATCTACACTCAAAAAGCATGCCCAGACTTTAAGGAGCTGCCTTGAATCACTTTTTTAATTTCTTCCCACAGTCTGTAAACTTTTGCAGCTGTAGATTCGTGGAAGATATGAAAACGGGCAAGCGACCACACGGCCTCAAGGACCCTAGTGCTACCTAATAAAGGAAAGCTGATCTATGGTGAGGCTATTGTATGTACAAGCAACATTGGAGAGGATATTGATTTTTGTCGTCACTACCCCATGTATGTATGGACAAACGGCTCTCACATTACGGGCACTATACTCACATACTGCGATAAACAGGACCGATGCCGGCGAAATGGCAGTCGGCACAACAGCAAAAAAAGCCCGCAGCGGGAAGCAGCGGCGCAGGCCGGCACAGCCCCCCCTCCCGGTGAGTGTCTGGGTTCGAGATTATTGTTCACCTTTGCTCCTTGCGGTAGAGGCTAAAAAGAGCACTTCCAGACAAAGGTCTATAGAGAGAGGTGCACTCATTGCAAAACAATGCGCGAGTATCAATTAAATGGAAGGGCTAAAATACCACTGAGTATAAGTTCCTCTACCTGCAGAGTCAAGCAAACTTATCAATAAAAATACCTAAAAAATAGGGATATGACAAGATCGCCCCTCACAGCATAATTGCCTTGAAACATGAACACCAATTTCTTTCTTTTGCGATTCTTTTTTGTTTGAATGTCTGGGTATCTCACATATAAAAATTGATGTGTCAAAATGTTGCAGGTCGCGAAAGCCTACTTCGGTGTGGGAGAAGATGAGAACAGCATCAATGGGCACATTGTGTACATGATGAAAGAGTCGAGGAAAGCCTTTCCTGATCGGGAGAAAGTAAAGGATGCCATGGACCGCATTTTCTATGCTAGGCGACACTCATGCGGCGTATTTCTTTAATTTTCCTCCTGGTTTTATCATGTTCTGCGTGTGCAGGCCACTCGTAATGTCTCACGTGCTAGTGAAGTGGGTTGGAGAGGAGACGTGGGACGTCTATCTAGTGCGGGCGGTTGTGGACACCCAAATGGGGTTTCGGTTGTTAAGCGAGGAGAGCACTATAACGGAGCTGCGTGGCCAGGATGGTCCACATCAACTGGAAAAACGGGGAGCCGCCGACACTTGCAAAGCTGTTGGATTTCAATAAGTGTTTATATTTACTTTGCATAAATGTGAGGTTTTGCAGCTGAAGTATTTCATGCACATTATTACATGCCTTGTTTGATGACATCACTAAGGTACAGAAAAGGCGGTGAAACGCCGACGTACATAACTTGCTCGGACTGAATCAGATCCATGCGGCGTCGAAGAGTCTACAGCCGTGCAACTGCATCCAAACAAGCAAAAGGTAAGTCATTTGCTGTGCGTTTACTATGAACTTGGTTGTGTTTGGTCAATGTGTTTATTGGTTCATCGCATAGGTGCAGTAGGAAGGGAACATCACTTTCATCGCTTTTCTAGATTTAACTTTTCCCTCTTCTGGAACACGAATGATGTGCAGGTATTCAAGAGCTCAGTAAAGTCACTGTGGCCGGTGCACTGCATTTTTCCTGGTTGACCTTGTCACTGGTGATATTTTACTGGTTTCACTAGTGGCGTTGACGCCGATGCTGGGTCCGCTACATCCGAGCTGTCATCGTTTATCAGGCCATTCAGCTTTGCCCTGATGACATTCAGATTGTCGCCGCTGACCGCATTCCATAAGCAGCCATCAATCTTCTCTGCCGACACGTTTTTACCAGTCTCAGCGAAGAGACACCGGGATATGTTCGACCAAGTTTTCCAGTGGCAGCAACGAGGCTTGTCGGTCTGGCCCGTGCACCCTTTATGGATACGGTTCACCGAATGGACTTTGGGCATGGCGTAGCTGCAGTACAGTGACTTGAGGCACAGCCGCTCCTCCGCCGTGCAGTCGGACAACCAGCTTGGACGCGTGACAGCCATCCGAAGAGATCTGGATGTTATACGAGCGAGCACAGCAGCAACTGACAGTCATGCCCACATAGTTGTGCATGACTGTCAGTTGGACTATCAGGAAAATTTATTTGAAGTGAGCTCACGTAGTCACAAAGTCTACCATGTTGATATCGGATAGAACATGCCGAGGCCGGGAAAAGGGGCAGAAAGGCCTTCTTGGATCTGGGGTGGTGACGAAGGGTTGGTGTATCGACAGGTTGGAATAAATCGCCTCAACCCATTTGGACAAGTCTTTACTGCCTCTCATGCGAAAAGTTCTAGATTTTGACTCTCTTACGGTTTGGTATAAAATCAGTGATGAACACGTGCAGGAAATCTTTTTTGCATGGATCTGGCGGAACTTGCCACCAATGGGCTCACTTGGCGACATTCTGAGAAGGGCAAAAACTGCAGTATCCTACGTTACTGCTCCCATATCGTCAGTTGATGCTGTTGCTAGAGCGATGCTGCAGGGCAAATGACAGATTAATGGTTTGTAAGAATGCTCCTTTTACAAACACCCTGGGAAGTCCCATTCTCTGCCAAGCAAAGGTACACATCTACCTTCCTGGGAGAACATACTCGTTAAGGAATGGTCTGCGGATGAGGTGGCAAGCTGCGTAAGCAGTTGAGAGAGGTCATTCCGTGAAAGGCGTGGAAGGCCCCACTGTTCTGAGCTTGATTCCATCATTGGAATCAAGCTCAGCTGTGTTGAGTAAAAAATGCAACGTAAACCTTACTATATCTTTCGGCGTATTTTTTCGGATCGCGGACGATTAGGCTGTTGCAGTAGGCGGTGACGCCTATAAAGAGTGCGCTCACGACTCCCACGCCCGTGTACCAACCAGAGTCGATCAGATCGGGAGACGCATCGTCGTCGCTTTCGGGGTTGCCGTTCGAGTCATTATCGGTTATGTCTCCTTCACTCTCGGCTTTCTGCGCATCTCTCTGCGGATCGGCATCGTGTATGCTACCGTCGCAAATGTGCGTGACGATGAATGTCTCGACGCTCATGCCGAGTTGATTGGTGGCCGCGGAACCGCCGCAGCCGCTGTGTACGTAGTTGTCCTCGGTCACCGTATAAGCTTTGCCGTCGTACATAAACATGTAGACGGAGGCGCGATCGTTGCATTTGGAGCCGTTGTCACAGAAGTAGTGGCATCCTGTAATTTATTTTTATTACGTTATTTAAATATAACGCGTTTTCGTTTCCGTACACATATTTCTCCTTGTAGCCTGTATGTTTCTCCGTCGCTGGTTCGGTTGCTGCAAAGGCACGTGTACGTGCGCGTTGTTTTCGTTCTGTTAGTTTCTTCCTAGTTAGCTCAACCTCTCGCGGTTCGCGAGCGGGGGTGTACGTGATTCATGTTTTGTGTCTTCCTTACTTTTTTCAACCTCAAAGTCACCCTCACTGCGCCCAAAGTCTTGAGCTCCATTTGTGTATTGGTAAACTTTTCTCGCCTGCAAGGTCACCCTTAGCAGGACAGAAGTTGTTGGCGTAGGGGCCTCCTGTTTTAGCTATGTCTTACTTTTTCTAACTTCAACATGGCGGCCATGCAGCTTCCCTTTTTGTATGAACTACTTTGTGTGCTGTTGGTGTTGTGCTGCTTGGACTCCGACCCCGTGCGTGAACAAGCGTCCGCGAGTGCCTCGGCCGTGAGCGCCCGACGCCGTTAAAAAGAGGGCGACTGGACCCCAGCATCAGTTCGCTCTTCGGGGGGGAAAGCCGCCGCCGCGTACTCCCGGGAACCCGAGCCGCCGCACCGCATCTCCGAGACCGACCACCCGCTGCCCCGGAAGGACCGCCGCTTCGAGGGCCGCTCTACGTGTGTCGTCTCTGTGGATGGACTGCCGCCGTGCTCCCCGGTCAACTGTATGTTGCTTCAATTTTGAACTTTTCCTTTCGACCGTCGCTAATTGGACTCTTACTTTCGTCTTGATCTTTGTACACGCGTACTTAACTGGATGTGTAACGTACTTCTCTGTGCTTAACTCGACACGTTTGTCGCTCGTAGCATCACTGTCTTGTAAAATGTACGTTCTGTTACTTTAAATTCCCTTTATATGTTCGTTTCGAGCCTATAAACACTGTTTTGTTGTTGTTAACTTATAACACGCCTCCGTCTCATTCTCTGCGTTTGCTTACCGGCTACGCCGGGCATCGAACGACCACCCCCTTATTGTCAGGTCTCGGTGATGACCTTCCGTCGTCGCCGGACTCGTGACAATTAACTGGCGTCCGCGACAGGACGTTCGATGCGAAGGAAACGTGGTGACTGGAGAGGGAGACGAGTTCTGGAAATGTGCCGCGTTATTTGAGACGTACGATGCATGAACGGGATTTCCTTTTGTGAGCGCCTGTTTGGGTTGTTGAAAGTGTTTCGGAGATAGAAGCATGGAAATGGAGAAGTTGCTAGCGATGGGTAGTCAGCTTGGCCTGGCGGGCGCTGAGCTCCGAAAATGGGTAAAAGATAAACAGCGAGAGGATCGAGCGTTTGCACGGCAGACAGCGGAGGATGAGCGCACAGCCGCGAAGGAGGCTGACGAGCGTCAGATTCAGCTTATGCGCCTGAAAATAGAGTGTCAGCAGCTGGAGAAGGAGACCAGAGAAAAGGAAGGAAGCCGGGGAAAAGACGCGGAGCCAAGCTTGAAACTGAACACAAGCAAGCTTCTCATCCCGTTCGATGACCGGAAGGATGACCTAGACGCGTATATTAGACGATTTGAGAGCCTTGCGGAAAGCCAGAAGTGGCCAGAGAGCCAGTGGTCTACAGCTCTAGCAACATGTCTGAGCGGGGAAGCACTCAGTGTTTACGGGCGGTTGCCGCCGGGTGATGCAGCGGATTACTCCAAGGTAAAGACAGCCCTTTTGAAGCGGTTTCGTTTCACGGCGGACGGCTTTCGGGACAAATTCGATTCAGGCAAACCGGCGGATGGTGAGACCGCAGCTCAGTTCTCGGCGCGTCTCAGCCACTATTTCGATCGCTGGATCGAGCTGTCCGATACGAAACACGAGTTCAAAGACCTCCGAGAGCTCCTGATTAAGGAAAGGTTCCTACATGGGTGTCATTCCAACATGGCGCTCTATCTGAAGGAAAGGAAGGCGAAATCGTTGGGAGAGATGCTGGATCTAGCCGACCAGTTTTTAGAAGCGCAGGGAAGCCTTAACCTCGCCAAAGTAAAGAAGGATAACCGAGATGATATCGGGAGGCCCGAAACTGACGAGAAAAGAAGCAGTCAACGAACAGCGCCTCGTTGTTATCTTTGCAACCGCGTTGGGCATCAGGCTTCACACTGCCGGGCCCACACCACTAACAACCACGGCCTTACTTGCTTCAAGTGCGGGCGAAAGGGCCACAAGGCCGACGCGTGCCGGTCGGGAACAAACGATAGGCCTCAGGCATCGTGCGTTTACTCCCCCCTCGGGGTGACGAATCGGGAGGGCATTCGCGACGGCTACCTAGAGCTGAAGAATGGGGAAAGAATCCCCGTCGTGAATGCAGTCATGATAACACAGCCGAAGTTTCTAGTCGACGGACTGCCGGTGGTCGCCGGAACGTATGAGGGCAAATCGATTTCGGTATTGCGAGACACCGGGTGCAATACGGCGATTATAAGACGAGAGCTCATCCGCGACGATCAGCTCACAGGAGAGACCCGGCCCGTTTATGTAGTCGACGGAACAGCCAGGATGCTGCCCGAAGCGCGGGTGGAGATCGACACCCCGTACTATTCAGGGGTCATCACGGCGCTCTGCATGGCGGAGCCGCTCTATGACCTAATCCTTGGAAATATAGAAGGCGCGAGGGCACCCGACGACCCAAAGGCGGCAGTGGAAGAACCCATCAGCAACGAGCCCGCTGATGAGGAAGCTGTAGCAGCAGTGGTAACGCGCTCGCAGATGAGGAACCAACCCCAAAGGTTCCAAACCCTCAAAGCCCCCGACGTCCCAGCACAGCCGCTAAACAGGGATTACGCGGATGAGCAGGAAGCGGACGAGTCGCTCAGGCCGTGCTTCTCTCAGATTGGCCAGATACTGACGTGCAGGGATTCCGAAGGAAATATCGAATTCCACCGGGAGGGTAGGCTACTGTACCGCAGCTACACTGAGAAAACCGGACACGTGGTGCGTCAGCTGGTCGTCCCTAGGTGCCATCGAGAAGCGGTATTGAAAACTGCACATGACGGAATAATGGCTGGTCATTTGGGCGTGCAAAAGACGAAGGACCGAATTTTGGAGGAATTTTTCTGGCCGGGCATCACCGCAGACGTGAAGAGATTTGTCGCATCATGTGACATCTGCCAGAGAACGATCCCAAAGGGCAGAGTAACCCGTGTGCCGCTGGGGAAGGCGCCGCTCATTGAAACCCCATTCAAAAGAGTGGCCATAGACATCGTGGGTCCAATTCAGCCCCCTTCCAAGCATGGAAATCGGTATATCCTGACCCTAATGGATTACGCGACCCGATACCCGGAGGCCGTGGCGCTGCCAAGTATTGAGACGGAGAGGGTCGCTGAGGCGCTAGTAGGAATGTTCTCTCGATTTGGCGTCCCGAACGAAGTCCTAAGCGACCGGGGCACCAATTTTACTTCCGATTTGATGAAGGAGGTTGCCCGACTTCTCTCCATACGCCAGCTGCATACAACGCCGTACCACCCTATGGCAAATGGGATGGTCGAGAAATTCAATGGCACCCTGAAATTGATGTTAAAGAGAATGTGCGCCGAAAAACCGAGAGACTGGGACCGCTACCTGGCGCCGTTGCTCTTCGCGTACAGGGAGGTCCCCCAGGCAAGTTTGGGCTTCTCGCCCTTTGAGCTGTTGTATGGGCGACATGTGAGGGGACCCCTGGCCATTCTGAAGGAGCTGTGGACGAACCACCACCTCGACGAGGAGGAGAAGACAACCTATCACCACGTTTTTGACCTCCGAAATCGGCTGGAAGAGACATGCAAGCTAGCGCACGAGGAGCTCGCGAAGGCCGGAGCACGCTACGCTAAGATGTACAACCGGAAAACTAAAGAAAGGTTCTTCCAACCAGGAAACAAAGTGCTGATTCTGCTGCCTACCGATAAGAACAAGCTACTGCTTCAGTGGAAAGGGCCTTTCGAGGTCAAGGAGAAGAAGGGAGAGGCCGACTACATCATCGAGACAGCAGGGGGGAGAAAGATTTTTCATGCTAACATGCTGAAAAAATACGAAGAGCGGGGAAGCCAACCGGTGGAAAGGGTGTGCCAGGCGATCTGCGGCGTCACAGACTCGGACAGCGATGGAGGCATTCCTGTTCCAGCGCTTCGGCAATCCGAGGACGAGCGAGATGTGAGGCTTTCTGATTGTTTGGGGGTGGATCAGCAGAAACAGCTCCGAGATGTGATTTCAGAATACTCGTGCATTTTCTCCGACGTCCCGGGCAAGACGGACTGGGCCGAGTGCCGGTTAGAGCTCACTACCGACACTCCGGTCCATGTAAAGCAGTATCCGCTTCCATTTGCGACGAGAGAGGGCGTAGAAAGAGAGGTGCAGGAGATGGAGCGACTCGGAATAATTGAGAAATCTCAGTCGCCCTACAACGCTCCAGTCCTTTTGGTCAAGAAACCGGACGGCACGAACCGCCTGTGCATTGATTTCCGGCGCCTGAACGACGTGTTGGTTGCCGATTCGGAGCCCATGCCCCGAGCTGACGCGGTCTTCGCTGCGGCTGGAGAGAAGAAATACTTCTCGAAAGTAGACTTCGTCAAAGGCTATTGGCAAATTCCATTGAGCGAAGAGTCCAAGCCCAAAACCGCATTTTCAACCACGTCGGGACTCTTCCAATTCCGCTTCATGCCATTCGGCATAAAGACAGCCCCCGCCGTATTTTCGAAACTGATGCACCGAGTTGTGGAGGGAATTCCGGGAGTGCAGCACTACTACGATGATGTCCTAGTTGCCAATGCTACGTGGGAGGAGCATCTCACTTCTCTGAGCCAGCTGTTTGCAAGAATCGAGACAGCCGGACTAACAGTGCGACCAGGCAAATGTGAATTTGGAAGGGAAAACATCGAGTTCTTGGGGCATCGCATTGGCGGCGGTGAACTGGCACCACTCGGGAAAACGCTCGACAGGATCCAAGCGGCGCCAGCCCCGCGAACAAAGCGACAGGTACGAGCATTTCTCGGCTTGACAGGGTATTACCGCGCCTTCATTCCCGACTACGCCAAAATCAGCGAGCCGCTCACCCAGCTCACGAAAAAGGGCGGCAACAACGTCGTTAGGTGGACGTCGGCCCATCAAGAAGCCTTCGAGGAGCTCAAACGCCGCGTCTCAAGCCCTCCAATACTGCGACTCCCAGACTTCTCCAATCAGTTTGTGCTGCGCACGGATGCCTCAGATACCAGCCTTGGAGCGGTACTAATGCAGCGGCATGACGGCACGCTCCACCCCGTCGCATATGCTAGCAGAAAGCTGCTCCCCAGGGAAGCAGCATACAGCACCATCGAGAGAGAGTCCTTAGCACTAGTTTGGGGGGTGCAAAAGTTCGCCACCTACCTATACGGCGTGCATTTCTTAGTGCAGACGGACCACCAACCGCTGAGCTACATCCAAAAAGCGAGGCAGCTAAACAGCCGAGTCCTCCGTTGGAGCTTGCTGCTCCAAGAGTATCAGTTTAGCGTCGAGCATATTAAGGGCAAGGAAAACATGGGAGCTGATTATCTCAGCAGGTTGTAGACTGGTCGCGTTTTATTTGCCTGCACTGTTTTGACATCTAAATATGTTACTACATCTGTACTTTGATTTGACTTGTGTGCTCGTCTGGGCAAGGGTTATGTGGTGCATTCTTATTAGTACACAGGCCTGCGCGCCGACTTCTGTGGGTCTAGAATATTATGTGATAATATTCCGAAAGTGGGGGGCCGTGTCACAGAAGTAGTGGCATCCTGTAATTTATTTTTATTACGTTATTTAAATATAACGCGTTTTCGTTTCCGTACACATATTTCTCCTTGTAGCCTGTATGTTTCTCCGTCGCTGGTTCGGTTGCTGCAAAGGCACGTGTACGTGCGCGTTGTTTTCGTTCTGTTAGTTTCTTCCTAGTTAGCTCAACCTCTCGCGGTTCGCGAGCGGGGGTGTACGTGATTCATGTTTTGTGTCTTCCTTACTTTTTTCAACCTCAAAGTCACCCTCACTGCGCCCAAAGTCTTGAGCTCCATTTGTGTATTGGTAAACTTTTCTCGCCTGCAAGGTCACCCTTAGCAGGACAGAAGTTGTTGGCGTAGGGGCCTCCTGTTTTAGCTATGTCTTACTTTTTCTAACTTCAACATGGCGGCCATGCAGCTTCCCTTTTTGTATGAACTACTTTGTGTGCTGTTGGTGTTGTGCTGCTTGGACTCCGACCCCGTGCGTGAACAAGCGTCCGCGAGTGCCTCGGCCGTGAGCGCCCGACGCCGTTAAAAAGAGGGCGACTGGACCCCAGCATCAGTTCGCTCTTCGGGGGGGAAAGCCGCCGCCGCGTACTCCCGGGAACCCGAGCCGCCGCACCGCATCTCCGAGACCGACCACCCGCTGCCCCGGAAGGACCGCCGCTTCGAGGGCCGCTCTACGTGTGTCGTCTCTGTGGATGGACTGCCGCCGTGCTCCCCGGTCAACTGTATGTTGCTTCAATTTTGAACTTTTCCTTTCGACCGTCGCTAATTGGACTCTTACTTTCGTCTTGATCTTTGTACACGCGTACTTAACTGGATGTGTAACGTACTTCTCTGTGCTTAACTCGACACGTTTGTCGCTCGTAGCATCACTGTCTTGTAAAATGTACGTTCTGTTACTTTAAATTCCCTTTATATGTTCGTTTCGAGCCTATAAACACTGTTTTGTTGTTGTTAACTTATAACACGCCTCCGTCTCATTCTCTGCGTTTGCTTACCGGCTACGCCGGGCATCGAACGACCACCCCCTTATTGTCAGGTCTCGGTGATGACCTTCCGTCGTCGCCGGACTCGTGACAGCCGTCGAGCGACGATTCCCACATGGTACGGTTGAAGGGCTCGTCGGGTAAGGTTGAAGGGCTCGTCGGGTTGTGGATGGTCTTGGCGTCTTGAAAGTAGAACGCGTAACCGTAATTGTCGTAGGGATTCGAACTATCGATGTAGTGAGACAGGTTGATTTCTTGCCCGTCGACCGTTATGGCCTTGCTGTGAACAAAATTTTTAAAGGATACCCCTACTCGATAGTAGTTTTCGTCCGCCGAAAAACACGAGACGCCCGTGAGACGGGTCGGTGATGGCCATCTTGAGACGCCACATGTCGTTAGTCAGGTCCGTGACCCCCCAACATGTGCCGTCCTTTGCGGCGAAAATGAAACGCTTCGTGTCCCAGTTGTACGAGGGAATAATCAGGCTGTCGTTGAAGAAATTTAAGATGACTGGTCTGCCGCGAACGCCCGCCAGTTCCCTCTGCAACATGTCTGCTCGCTCTTGTGGGGTGCTAGCAAAGTTCCTCCGCTCCTCCTCTCGGCGGCCACTTTTTTTAAGCGACGTGCCAGACCAGAGGAGACGGCGAAGGGAAAGGGTTGACATCCTCTCCGCAATTTCAAAAAAAAAAAAGAAAAAAAAATTGTTTCTGCGTTTGTCTGCTCGCTCTTGTGTGGCGCTAGCAAAGTTCCTCCGCTCCTCCTCTCCTACTTTCGGCGGCCACTTTTTTAAGCGACGTGCCAGATCACAGGGGGACGGCGAAGGGAAAGGGTTGACGTCGAGTTTCTGCTCTCCGCAATTCAAAAAAAAAACAAGAAAAAAAAATTGTTTCTGTGTTTGTCCGCTTGCTCTTGTGTGGCGCTAGCAAAGTTCCTCCGCTATTCTAAGCTTAAATGGTAAAACAAAATGGCTAGGTGGCGTAAGCTACCGCCCGATCCAAAGGGCTCAGCCGTATTCATCCATCCATCCATCCATGTAGAGATTACCAAGCAAAGATTAAGTGAATGGTGGCAGAAATCGAGAGAAAACTAGGTATTTTCTTATCCACTGATGGCAAGGGGGTTTCACAGCCTCACTTTCTTTGCACTGCGGAGTGAATATAGATTTCACATTTAAATATTCTAAGCTTAAATGGTAAAACAAAATGGCTAGGTGGCGTAAGCTACCGCCCGATCCAAAGGGCTCAGCCGTATTCATCCATCCATCCATCCATCGCTCCTCCTCTCCTACTTCCGGCGGCCACTTTTTTAAGCGATGTGCCAGATGTTCTCAGTATAGGCTTCTTGCACTGACGTCACATCGCACACTTTTGAACACCAAGTAAGAGGAGGAGAGGGAAGCTGCTTTTGTAAGAATTTTGAGTGACGGGTTAATCTTCTATAATCTTCTGGGGGGAGAATAGCGACGCCTGTACAAATCCGGGAGGCACAAAGGAGGATCCTGATAAGAGGGGAGCTCCCTCTTCCCCTCTTCTTTGGAGGGCAACGGAAGTGACGTCCTGTGCAAGGAGCCTATAGAGGAGGTTATGCATCGAAGGACACTGTCTCGAGTGGATTTTCTCAGAACACTTTAGTTATCAATGGCATTGGAATAGAGATGGACCATGAAATGACCTTTTTACTTTTTCCAGATAACTTTTACATTAAACCGTCAATGTTCACTGAATGCCGAACAGGCATCCGTTTTCGTCTCGGTTTATTAACTTCTACACAAAAAATTATTGAAATATTGACTTTTTCATTCTCTCCAACTGACCGCAAAAGAAGCCGTGACGTAGACCGTTTCCGGAACCGGAAGTTCTCTCGGCAGTAGGAGAATGGGAGTGTTAGCGGCAACGAGTTGGGGTGTGCCGGTAGGTTTTACTGCGCTGATGTCACCGACGTATTTCCTGAATCGGCGCCTCTCATCGCCACATCGCAGCTGAGCGAAATTCAATGAGATATGTTGCGCTACAGCGACAGCATGGGACTAGTCCCATATGCCGGTATGCCTGTTGGGAAGTGCAGCGAGTCTTCCGGTGAAGACTCCAGAAGTCAACCACCCCGTCATTGTTGGCAGAAGGGCCGGCCCGTGTCAGTCGTTTGCAAAGCGACGTAGATGGCGTTTTTCGCGGCCTCGGAGATGCAGGAGCAGGCCGACGTTAAAAAAGATACGTTTGAACTACGAGTGTCAGCAAGAGCCACGTAAATACTTGTTTACACTCGGAGCGGACGCGCGCGCTTGATGGAAGTCTTGTATTCGCGCTGTTGGTAAGCGCTTCGGGACCGTTCTTTTACGATTGCAACTCGATACTGACGTGACACTCGGCAAAGAAAGGTTGGACCGGGGTTGTACGTATACCTCCCACGAACTGTTATAGCTCGACAGTGACGTGCAGTCTGTCAGAATAAAAATGGCATAACAATAACAAAGTGTACATACCGTGTTACGAAGGTAATCCATACGGCGTTTATTTCAGCTCTATATCACACAAAACAAGAAGATAGAATCGACGAGAGTCCCTTTTCGACGAGTGTTCGTCAACACTGCCTCGGAAAACAAGGGAAGAGATTGACCTCACCTCTTAATCTAGAATTGAGGTCAGTGATCAAGCTATAATACGGGAAGGGTCCACAAGGGTCGCGCGGGCATATTCCATTTAGCACGCCAGCCGATCGTAGGCAGACGGTCTTGCGACGAAGCAACGCAGCGCCGAGTCGGAATGCCTGCTACGCCTATACGCTTCGTCGGAGTCGGTGGATCCAGCGTTCTTGTTCGTCGTGGTCTGTTTTAAGTACTGTTTTCTTGCTGCTTGAAGTCGGCACGCGCGGGAAGAACACGTAGAAAAATAAACGTTCAGTCAGTCAGAGTTTTGAGAGGAAGGAAAACAAAGAAAATAAACGTTCGCCGCTGGCCGCCACCCAAGTAACTGTCGGCCCTGCCCTACTGCGCACGCGCAGTAGTTGCTTCGTTTACCACACGATAGATGGCGCCTGGCTCTCAGCATTATCAAATTTGGCAATTTTCGCCACACATCTCTAATTATGCTACAAAATGTGGATCTGAATATTATTTAACAAAACTTTTAGGAAACATTCGCCGGCTATTTATTGTTTACAATCGCGGTGCTGGTGAGGTAGGCTCTTACCCAATAGGCGACCTGGATTTGGCTGACGTGCTCCATTTCCGCGGATGCATCGTAGTGAACAGGCGAAGGAAGGAAGGCGCAAAAGAGTCCAGTTTTCTTTTAAAAGTTCTATAGCAAATAATTTTTTTTTGGCTCCCTATTTCTGTGTTTTTGTGTTTCTTTTCACACCTTTTACGACGTGCGGTGGATGAAACTCGATTTTAAAATCATTTCATGGTCCCTTTAAAGGGCCCCTGAAAAGAAAAAGAAGTTTTTTTTTTTTAAACGGTCTGGTTGGGACACGCGTGTCGAAAAATGAATTTTACGCGAAAAAAATATTTTTTAGAGCAATATTGACGGCGAGAGATTTATTTGAAATTTTGCGCGCAAATTCCAGGTCATTCAGCTCGGCTTCTCATTGGTAACCATGGTCATTCAAATCGGCTTCTCATTGGCCAATAGAATGAGTGACAGCTTAGACGTTGGTTATAAAATCTTCGTGATCTCTTGAGATCGCCTTTTGAATTACATATTTTTAGGTTTAAGAAACAATCCATCGAATGAATGTCGCAATTGCTTACAAACGTTTTACAAAATCGTAACTTCCGTTCGGATACTACAACAAAACAACAAACAAACGCTGCGCCATTTTGTTTTCTGTCATGGTCGCCGTCGTTGTAACGCGTCTCGCGTACATCGGGTGGTTTTAGTTTTATCGCGTTTACATGTGAAAACCTTCTGAAGAGGGCTTGTTGCTTGTGTTAGTTAGTCATCGTAAGTACTCAGGAAGTGGCGCGGTGTGACAGGTTTTTGTTTTTCTGCTCTTCTTTGCGTGATTCGTGTGTCCCGTTTACCCCATCTTTTGCATGTTTTCTAACGCGCGCCAGTGCCAATTTTTTTTTTTTTTTTTTTTACATGTCGGTTTTTGTAAAGGGTTTAGTGAAGGCACGCGGTACCGCACTCAACGTTTAATAAAAATGAGTCGCCACTGCGTGTCCTCGCGGCGGCTTGAAGGGTCGTGCGGCTCCGACGAACTCGTCGAGGCACCCGCTTCGCCGCCTTCCGCGGCGAAGTGGGTGCCTCCTCGCGAGCGGTTGTCTCGCGGCGATCGGAGCGGACGCCTTCCGGCTGGCGAGGCGTGTCCTCGTACGGGCGAAGGCCCAGCTGCTGGCAGCGTTGAAGGGTTGAAGCAACCGACGCTTCAGGTCGGGGTCCATCGCGACGAATATGTACTGTGTGACCACGGTACGTGCACGATACGACGCGGTACGTCGCGCGACCGGCAGACACGGGGGCTGTGTTCCAAATCTCCAAATGGATCCGAGTTATTGCGGCGGATCGTATCACGTGACAGCACAGATTGAAAAACGCTGTACGCGGGTAGGTTTTAGAACGCTAAGGGTACAAAACTCTTACCCTGGGGTAAGATCGAGTAAATTTTGGAACACGGCCAGGAAGTAGCAATGGCTCTCGTGCGGGGCGCAGCCAAGCCGGGAAAGTAGCCAAGCCGATCCACTACGAAGGGGCGGGGCGGCGTGTACCTCTCCTCCACGCGCCCGAAATGCCGAGAGAGAAAAAGGTGGAAAGGAGGTGACTGCCGACTAAGTTGCGTCTGGCGCGGTCAATATTGCTCTAAAATTTTTTTTTTTCGCGTAAAATTAATTTTTTGACACGTGTGTCCCAATTAAACTGTTTTTAAAAAACTTTTTTTTTTTCTTTTCAGGGGCCCTTTAAGCGATCGCCACTCGCATCACGACACGACTACTACTCACGCTGTCAATTAGACAACGACCACGAGTTTCCCGCTATCCTTCGGATCCACCACTTCCAGTAGGACTATGGAGCTCGATCATCAGGTATTTCTGTTCTTTGTATTTCAATTCAATTATTATATAGACAGGTTTTTTTGTTGTTTTTTTTCCAGACTGTCAGCAGGTGGACAATGTACGAGACCGTGAAGACCGCATTCCCTGTACTGGAGAGGGGATGTAGTTCCGCGTCTACGTGCGGGCTACTGTTAATGCATCGCGTCTTAACTGCAATTAATGCGATACTTTTTGTTGTGGGACTTGAAATTGTCGAGATTACACCAAAAAGCCTAGCGGTAGAATGTGTGAACACGGGCGAAGGCGTGGAGGACGACATCGACTACACCAAGGAATCGGAGGCGGCCATGATAATGTACCTTCTCTTCAGGCAACATTCGTGCGTAATTCGACTAAATGCTTCAAAATTGGTAGGCAAAAGTACCGTAATGTTTAGAGATTTGATTTTGTGCGGCATACGTCAAAATTCGTCTATTAGAGAATTGGTTGTAGATGAAACTTGCACGGAAACCGACATGTCTGACATGGCGTACGTAACCGTGGGCATGATGGATCTGCATCGGGCCATTGAACACCTCCGTAATCTACGTATCGTAAATATAAATATCACCACCATGTCTCACGCATTCACAAATCACCTGTTGAGGTGGATATCAGAGTTTCAAATCGGACTGGAGGAGTTATGCTACGAAACTGATTTTGTAGATCTGAGGTCCGTGCAAGCGATGCTAGAGAGGCCGGGCTGCGCCCTCAAAATCTTGCACTTTACCGGAGGTATAATAGAGGCAGATTTTCTGCGCGCAACGACGTCTATCAGACGCCTAAAGTTGATGGGCGTTTCCTTCCAGAACGAGGCCGTCGTCGAATTGGCGCGATTGTTGATGAAGACAAATTGCATGATCGAGACGCTCGATCTCAATTTCACCAACCTAACCGACGATACGGCATCCTATCTGGCTGAGGCCGTTGCGCATAATGGGTGTTTAATCGAAATTAATCTAAGAGATAACCTAGCCTTGTCTACGCGCAGCCTACGGGCTTTGATAGAGGCTCTATCTATCAACAAGAGCCTACACGTCATGAGGCTTGGTTACGTGACAGATTTCGGCGAATTGGCGCAGCTGGCCATCGACCGAGGTCAGTGCCAGCGCTTACATTTGGCCGTTTTGGTTAAGAGCCGCAGAAATGTAGAATTATTGGCACCATTTAAATACGTAACCATCGACCATGTAATGTCACGTGAGGTTCACCAATACCTCGGTGAGACGTTTGACGCCCTCCGCGCCTCCCCGCACGTGCAACACGTATATATCTTCTCCATCTTTTTGAACATTGTGGCTGAAAAGGTGGCCGCTTTCATAGCAGCCTCTAAGACTCTGAAAACGCTCACTCTAGTCACGTGTGGACAAGAACGCCAGTCAGTCGTAAAGACGGTTTTGGAAGGCCTATCGCAAAACCACGGACTAGAATGGTTCGAATGGTTGAAGTGTGTCGTCGCGAGCTCAGAAGCCCTGCGAAGTCTCTACAAAGTTTTCAAAAACAACGAGACGTTGATTAAACTGTGCATGTCGACGACGCCACACGGCTTCGATTATTACGCTGACTTCGACGGACTGAACCCTCGGCTCCGATGTGTCGAGCTGCGAAAAGATAATTACGACCGTCGCCGCGGAGGATCGGGAGTGTTTGTGATACAAGAGGCAGTGCGACACAACAGGTGGCTCTTGAACAGGGCCGCAGAGTTTGTGGCCGATCCAAGCGTCCCGGATGCTGCTCCGGACATGTACGACGTGCGGGCTCTGGAATCTGCTGTGCGATGTAGGCGCCCCATCACCATCTACGCCCAACGACGGCTGTTGTGTGAATGTCGACTCGAGTGCAGTGGACGTCTTGGCGCGGGCTCGCCGGTACATTCGTTAAAACTTTTTTCAACTGGCAGGAATATGTGACCGTGAAATGTCTGTGTGTGCCCTTCCATTTTTAAACAGAGAATGTTGGGAGGCGTTGTCGACCTTTCGGGGTTGTACCGGGAATCGGCTATTGTGAACACGAGAAGTATATTAAGGACTTTAACATGCTTTTGTAGGGGTCGATGATTGGAATGTTTACAGAGTCGGCGGCGGAGGGCCGTTTTGTTTTGGATAGCGCCAACTGAACTCATTTATTATTTTGCTTGTCGGGATTTGTGTAGCTGTACCACGGAGACGAGAATCCGTGTCAGAGGGAGAGAGTGAAAGAGAGAGAGAAGAGTGTAGCTAAGTTGGGAGCGGAAGAGTTGAGAGGGGGAGTCGATGAAGAGATTTAAAAGGAGACGCATCGAGAGCGATGCGGAAAAACGAGTAGATAAAGTGCAGAAGTGTCACTAAGAGAGTTAAACAGCAGAGGCCATCGAGTTTTGAGAACTACCGAACTTTGACTATGTTGTAATTTTTGTGTATAATACCTGCATATTAAACCAAGTTATTCAACCCTAAAAGCCTACGATCCTGACATCACTAAAACCCAAGAGAAGAGACCCTTGACTCGCAATCGGCGACAATGACGTCAGCACAGACCCGAAGACAACGAGAGACTTGACGTCATGAGACGAGACAAGACGGATATAAACTTTACACTACAGTATATACCATTTCATTCAAACACATGTCATTATCCCGTATACTTTTGTTCATTGCGTTACAGTTTTGCAACTGCATCTGGTGCAGACAGATAAAATGATCCACAGTTTCCATACTATTTTGTTGCAAATCTGTTTCTTGAACTGCCGATTTTATTGTCCCATTAAACGTGCAAAGCATCGCTTTGGCAGTTATTGAGCATGGGCCATATAAGTAAGACTGCAATTACAAAGTTCCTATGCACTTGGATTTATGCCTGGCGAGTTTTCTGGTTCACTGTTATTGTGTAATGTCATAATTAGCTAAATATAAATTTTTAAGCTTAAGTATATGTATTCATCCACCTTAGATTCTATTTCTTAATTATTTTTCTAGTAACTTTGAATTTTGTAATTTAAATACTTATCTAGAATTATTTATTTAGTTGTTTTTCTAAGTTATATTTATTTATTTATTTACCGGCCCTCGAGACAATGAGATATTCCCGATGCGGCCCTTTAGTCAAGAAGTTTAGAGACCCACAAGCTATGATGATTTTGTTTACAGTGTTTTCGGGGAGAAGTCATCTCTGGGCAAGGAAGACAAGGAGATTGACATCCAAGGCACTGACCTAAGCAAACTCATAGACAGCGCTGACGAGGGAATTTGTCTACCCCAGCATCACCGCTGCGCTGCCCACTGTCTGAACCTTGTGCCTACCGTGGATGCCTCACGTGCAAGTGAAGACGAAGCATTCTCAAAGGCGTTCACAACCGTGATGAAAAAGTGCAGGTGCCTTAGGCCAAGCAGGGGTCCTCAGTCGCTGTACAAACGGTGGACAATTTGTGCGGTGTGTACCTGTCGACTCCAGTAACCACTCGCTGGAACTCGCTGTACGACTCGTCACAATTCCCCCCGACTCTGAAGAGGAATGGAAAAGACATGCCAGCACCCTGTCGCACACTCCATCTTCCACCTCTGGATGATCCGGTGGACTTCAATTTCATCGAAGAATACTGCGAGATATGTTTCTCAAAATGTCTCTCAATTTGACGGTAACTGAGAAGTAAGCATTAGTTCCCAAGCCCTTGCTTTGTCTCGTTCTACATCGTTGTTAACAACTGTATCTGCACATATCCAACCACCTGCTTTATTTTTCCACAAATTTTATTAGTCATTCTGACGTCAATCAGAAAATAATGAACGAGATATTTAAAGCGCATATAAGCTGCAAAGGACCTGCCCCACGTATAAAAAAAGGTTTTAAGGTTGTGAAACCTGTTGCCTGTGCCCTGAATGTGCTGCAACGGGATAACCAGATGTTCATGGGGTATCTCCTACAGACGCCGTCTGCCCTCCAGCAACGCCTAGAATACGCCATCATGAAGAGCATGCAGATTTGCACGCAACACTGTCAGGCAGTCCTCGATGGCCTGGGGAAAAAGGTAAACATTCATATTTTGTATTAAAAAAATGGATAGCATATTTTAACCTTCACTGCCAATGACTAATAGCACATTCTATCTCAAGGTTTGATCACCTGATGGAGAAGAGGGACCTGCTGCTGGCATCAGCTGTGCTGCCCAAATTCCGATTAAAATGGATCCAAAATGCCGAGAAGTGCCTCCTGGAGGATGAAGCACCTCTGCGATGCTACTCCCTCCCTGCACGCCAGATACCCAGACATCACAAGCCCAGAACTAGACAATATTTTTTTCTTAACTTCCCCAACATTTATGCATTTGACTAGGAGCACAGAAGTTTCTCGGTTCTTGGATGCCCCCAGCAATGTGCCAGTGAAGAAGCTAGTCGACTTTCCGAAGATCCACGGGATCATTTTGAAGCATAACACATTTGTGCCGTCCGGCGCATCAGTGGAGTGACTCTTCAGCCGCGCCGGAGATGTGTTCTTTAAAAAATGACTGACTTCAACTTCGATGGAAAAATGACTGACTTCAACTTCGAATGCCAACTGCTCTTGATGTGCGATAAAAACTAAACACAAAAACTTCTGTACATTATTTGCAGATAGTATTATTCGTCCACAGGTAGCTGATAAGTTACCTTATTACTGTAAACAAAGATACTGTGAAAAATTGCATTTTTGCATGTATTTTTTTAAGCCATTGAAACGTAATCGAGTAAAGTAACCAAGTAATTAGTCAATTACATTTTAAAGCCAATAACTTGTAACGGTAATCCACTACTTTGATGGCCAAATAATTGTAAATGAAATTAACCACTTTTTACAAGTAATGAATGGGCACAAGTCTGGTTGAGGGCTCGCTGTTTCTTCTTGGAGAAGGGAGCCAATGGGAGGCAGTGTAGATAGTGACTGTGCGATGTCATACCAACGCCAAGCCGCTTTTCGCGCGTCTTTCAAGTTGCAAAGGAGCTTAGTGTGGTTCCGTTTGCAATCCCCATTTCCCCAATGCCTTTCCCAACAGAGTGGTTCCTCGAAACTGTATGATTTTTCCCCTTTCTGTATGACAAGACACAAACAGACTATATATATAAGGACGAGCAACTGCTGGGAAACTATTGGAGAGGAATTTGGAATAACAGCAGAGTTTCTCACTTGTCGCACGTCGCCTGAATTGTGGTGGATTTCGTGTTGATTTGGTGACAGTCTTTGTCTCAATGAATGATGGAATATATCCTGCGGGAATCAAAGCCGTGGGTAAGTTTTCAACACACGCGCTTGCTGAATATTGTCGAAAATCGACAACGCATGTCAAAGCGGAGCAGGTAGGAACGCCAGAAAAGGCTCAAAGTCATGGGCCCTTTTTCGACGTTGCTGACGGCATGCTCCGAGTCACTCCTCACTACGTCGGAAAGTAAGGAGTCGAGGTCATACACACGCTCAGCCCAACTTTGTGTGCAATCTTAATTACCAACTGCCACTTTCCAAGAAAATTTTATTGAGGGAGACCTTTTCGCTGTGTTGTCCATTGTAAACAGCAAAGGACACCCCTCCATTCCCTTCCCTTCTGAGGCAATACATTGCATGCACTACATAAATTCTTTTCATGTTTCAGAATAATCACGAACATACCAGCAGACGAGGAAAGATTTATTTTCACTAAAATCTGCTCGTTTTTCATTCGACCTAGCAAAACTTCTCTGTTAACTAACAGAATCTCTCTGCTGTGTTTTTGCAAATGTTTTGGTTATTTTTCTGCAAAAACACACTAGTCATGCAGCAGTGGGAGCAGCACACAGACAAGCAGTCCAGCGCTGCAGGAAAGGTACACTATCCTTGTTTGCGTCAGTTGAGAAGAAAACTAGAGCAACATAAACTTGTCTTCTGTTTCGTGTAGCAGTGACCGGAGCTGCCGTCATGACATGTGCGCAAGCTGTACTTGCCATAACATAAGCATGTTTCATTGTGTTGGTTCATACTAATGCTTACATTTTTGCCTATAGGGCAGTTTCACAAAATGCTGTCCAATTCCCAATACTTTTAGAAAGTTTGGTAGAGAAAAACCAGACCAGCAACAGGGGTGCTGGAGAGAATCAAACTGGTATGGCACTACCTTTAATTGTGCGAGCAGGCAGATTTCCTTACTAGGCATCTTGTAAAGGCATCTATTGGTAACTGGTAAAAATGTTTCATGGTTACTGGGCTACTGGTGCTATTTTGTTCTGTACTTTGACTTGGGCAGAATGTATGGTGTCGTTGGGGGAGCGCCCCTTCTCAGAACTCGAGTACTTTGACGTGGAAGATGGCTGGCCACCAGATATAATGTATGATCATGCCCCATGTTATCATGCCCCATGTGCATGATGACATGTTGCCCCATGTCATCATGCCCCATGTTATCAAGCTCACAATCAGCAAGTTAATTCAAGAGCATCGCTTCACGTTGGAGTTCTTGAACAATTGCAAAACAGCGGTCAAGTATGGCTTCCCGGACTGCACAGACAAGCCTGTGCCAATACCGAAGCAATGTTTGCGGGAAAAAAACAATTTCCTTCAGGGCAAAGCTAATCAAAATCTGTGATTGTTGACGTTCCTGCCTCTCTTTGTAGGCCATAAAATACCAAAGGATAACAAAATGAGAAAGATGTTTCTCCGTCTACGTTGAGCGACGGACATTGTGTTAACTACGTCCATCAAAAGGCCATGGGTGCCATACCTCGAGCATTTCATCACAGAATGTTTGGATAGCCTTCTGGAGCATTTTTCCGGACAGTTTTAAGCTAAAACGTCACTACCTAGTGCATTATTCTCGATTTATTAACTTGTACGGCCCACTGGGGCACGTTTGGTGCACGAGGTTTCAGGCCAAAAATCCGCGAGATCTTTTGCTGTCATTTCCAACTGTCTGGAACATGATACTGTAGCAGTGTATGCGTTTCAGTGTGAAATCCCGAAGCAGTTGAAAAATTACCTGCCGCAAATACGAAAAATATTTTACTTTTCTGACGGAGCACAGGAACACAGGAGTACAGGAACAAAAATAACTTTCTGAACCTGTGTTACCACGACAAAGTGTTCAATATTTCAGCTGAATGGAACTTTTTTGCAACCTCCCATGGGAAAAAGTCCCTGCGACAGCATTGGGGGAACCGTGAAACGTTTGGCAGCAAAAGCCAGTCTTCAAAGGTTGTACCAAGACCAGATCGCCATTCCAGAAGAGCTGTTCACATGGGCACGAAATAACATCAACGGCATAACAATCCTATGGGTGCCAAGTGTTATTGTGCAAGAAAAGCGAGCTGACCTAGCTCCAAGATTCCAAACAGCACTCGCCATAAAAGGCACTCGCAGCTTTCACCACTTCAAGCCAACTTCAACATCAACTCTTTCTGTTTCTGTAACATTGTTCTCAACGACTAAAAAAGTTAGTGTCAAAATAATTCTTGGATCCACATCATCAGTGGAAACACATAACC